CGGCTCCGTTGATGAAACGTGGCTCCCATCCACATGCCTCCCGGTCTTATTCCTTCGGATTTACACTGGATATGGGGTGTGTGGTTGGAGCTGTGGGTGGTTCAGCGCAAGCCACCCATAGTCTCTCTGTAGGCGCAGGCGTCCTGTGGCTGGTCAAAATGACAGGCAAATCCGAAACCGGATGCCGTCAACCATATATATCGCTGGAATCCTGCGGAGTAAGATGGACATAGAAATCTTGGACGCTAAAGAAATGGGCGAAATTCCACGGTAAACGGCGCAATCGTTGCGGGAGCCACACTTGTGGCTCGGGACAAAGACTGATTCATTCCAAGTAGAATCTTGCACATCAGTCCAAACATTCGTGAACAGCGCTAGCATTTCCTTGACAAATAGACTTTAGCCAAATTTAAATACGGTCGGGGAGGCTTCCATCTGTGTAGATCAAATAAAGCATTTGCTCTCCCCATCTTATTTGGATCGATTCACCTTCCTGTCATACATTGTGCAAAAAGAGTTCAGTTGCTTCGATGGTCGCAAACTAGGCCTATCAACCGAACACGAGGACGGACTTCGGGCACACTCAGTGGATGATGATACTGCGTTAACAGCAGTGATCCATTCCGCAACCCAAAAACAGATACCTACAAACCACTTCACGCTGGTCAGCTTGGCACAACAGCTAGTGACAGGCTGAGCTATTAGAAAGGTGCTGGAAAGTCGAATAAAGGCTCAGAAGAAAATTTCTGGTTCGATGTCAAGAATGCAGACGAGGAAGGTCGCCAATGAGCGGCAGAACAACTCGTGGTGCCAGCTAGGTGGTTCGGGATTATCCCGTTCCATTGAATGGGTTGGCGGCAGTGTTCCAGGATGTGGTGGATTTTCGCCTGCCAAGCGTTCTCCCTGCAAAAAACCACAAATGTCCGTCTAACAACACAGTAGCGTGGCGGATGTGACTCGCCACTAAATAATCACTGCCACTCGCCTCCCTTTGAGTGGCATTGTAATGAAATGGTGCGTTGGGCCCCTGGTCCTTTGCGGTCCTAAAGGCGTATGAACCACTTTCTTGGTCACCAGCTCCCAACGTGTTGAGACGCTCTCATATCGCCGTGCTGCCTTGTAGATTAAATGCTTGATCAAAGGCTCGGGGACGGCCCTCTTAAGACAATCCTCTATTTCTGCCTGGGCAACAGGGTAGTATCACGCAAACTAACGAACCATGAGTGGAGTATACTACTGCCTTCACTCTTACTATGTCTACTAGCTCTACTGACCACACTGCTCAACCTCCACCCACAGATCGTCCCACGTCCCATTCTTCAACTACACTTATGTCCTCCCCGGTCATCGCCGACAGCACCTAACTGATCGCACCTGACGGAAGTCAAAAGCAAACTCATGATGTTCGATGCCCAGCGATCATAGCCTCCAGACCCCACCGAAGCCCCAGCTTTTCTTGGACGTGGTTCTATATTCGGCCTCGCAGCGCGCAACGTTCGCACTGTGATACAGATCGGACGACAAGCATGCCCCTACCCCGATCGTTGAGACGCTTTCGGTAGACATCTGTTGCATCTCGGAAACCAAATTGCAAGACCCCATTACGGTCACCAGAATGACCTCTCCGGCAAACCCTGACGCCAAATACCATTTGTACCTTTCCGGAGACCTAGAGGTTGCCACCTTTAGTAAGACTCGTATTGGCGTTGCTCTAAGTGACAAGACTGAATTCGATCTGCTTGACTGGATCCCAGTTAACAGTCGGCTCTGTGCAGTCAGACTACGAGGTTCATGTAAGCAAGTTAAGCGTCGAGATGATGCGCGTGCCTTATTTGTCGTCATTGCCTACGCTCCTATTGATTGCAGCCCGGATGAAGTCAAAGACTCTTTTTACCAACTACAGCATTACCCGCGTTCCTCTAAACTTTGATATTGTCACTCTTGTCGGAGATTTAGACGCACGATATGGCAGCCTGACACCAAGAGAGCACCATCTTGGGGGTAGTTTTGGCCTCGATAGCAGTCGAGCAGACAATGGAGACAAAGTACTGATTATCGCCTATTTCTCGAGCACTAGTTTTCCGCACTCGAAGAGAAAGACTGCTAGTTGGCGCCCGCCTTTGCAATCGAAAGAGTGATCACAGCTTGACCACACAGAAATAAGCTACAATTGGAGCAGGAGTGTATCGGACCACCGTTTGTACTGGTCAACTTGTCCGGACTCAAGTCAAGTCAAGATAAGCGTTATACACACGTGTGGGAGCACTTTCGACAATTTACATTAGCACTAAGGACACAATATAACATAGAATCGGAGGGAAAATAATGTGAAATGGTAGGAACAACAAAAAGAGTACATTTTTAACAAAGCACACGTTCTCACAATTGTTGCATCACCAATCTTAGGTCGACTAGCAAGCGAGTCCCGGTACGAAAAAGTGCGGGAAAAAACTGAATTTTTACCACGTGGGAAAAATGTATGCGGTACTTGCTAAAAACTGTGTATGAGATGGGAGGTCGCGTAGGATCTTGCATGCGTCAAAACGTATGCTGACCACAAAAGCAACGAGGGATTCTCTGCTTAATGCAGAGCATCAGGGAAAATTTTTAGTGATCGCACAAGTATAATTTTTTTGAGGAATTCTGGGGAAAATAACAGGGAACGGTACAGCCGATGGAGGAGAATACATATACTGACAAAACTTTGAAGTGGAACATGCAGTACGGAGAGCCTCTTGAGCCTAAGGGTATAAAAGGATAGCCCTATGACTTAGAAAATTTTCAAGTATATGTGTTGACTAGGACAAATTTTATGACAAAAAGTGCCGATATACTTTACGGAATATGAAGGAGAGATGGTTTGGTCACTAACGAACAAAGGAGAACAAATGTTTAAAAACGAATGCCGTTTGTCGGTGAGAAGAAAAGAAAATATTATATCACAACACTTAGTGAGAGAGAGAGCAGGAGTTTGACCAAGTTAGGGGTTCGTTTAATCCTCATTGGGGTTTCGAAGATCTCTCAATTACTGGGGTTATGTACCATAATACAACTTGGTCAGCGTAGTTACACTCAATGAAACTTGTTGGTATAGGCAGACACACAACAGAGAGGGAAAACAGAAAAGGAATAGAATAGATCCTTGACTGGGATTGTGGAGAATCTACCGCATAACTGCATGAAGTGTGTGCGATTCGTTAAGCAATCATGTGCTGGATATCTTGGAACATTGCGTGTCATCACAAATATATTAACCGGTCGTCTATCAAGTTTTCTGATACAGTCATGTACTGCATTACATGTGTTTGGGGGAACGCCGTCTTCGAACGAAAGGTTTAGTAGTAACGAGCTGTCAAGGCTCCCAAAGGTATATGTAAAATTAAGGAGCCGCACAGTCCTGCACTTTTTTATCCAAAGCGGATGGAATGTAGTGCATGAGATACGAAAAGGTATCCAATGTAGAGCGCTGTGACTTGTATGCAAACTGTTTGATATCAGCCTTATGGTTGTTTGTGTATATATACGGAGGAAGAGCACGAAGTTTCTGGATATGCAGTACACAGATTAGGTGCAGCATTTTAACAACGCACCTACACACAGGTCCCATGTCATCGTAGAGTTCCTGGCTAGAGAACGCATCCAGGAGGTTGGTCGCCCACCCTACAATCCAGTCCTGGCTCCGTGTGACTGTTCCTAACTGTCAAACGCATGATGCGTGAAATCCGTTACGAGTGTCTAGAAACCCCATTAGAGGTCTTTATTGAGGTGCTTGAAGGGTTACTCGCTTCGGCATGATCTTGCTGCTTCTCCAAATGGTTTGAGTGCATGGAGTGGCGCAGGAACGCTGGAGAAGAATACTTCGAGATAACGTAATGCTTGCTTTTTAGTAAAAAATAAAAATTTTTGTGCATCCTGAAACCTACTACTCCACACTCATATGGTTAGCGGCATCTGGTTTCGGATTTGCCTGTCACTGTGGCCAGCCACAGGACGCCTGCGCCTACAGAGGGACCATGAGTGGCTTGCGCTGCACCACCCACAGCTCCAACCACACACCCCATATCCAGTGTAAACCCGAAGGAATAAGACCGGGAGGCATGCGGATGGGAACCACGTTTCATCAACGGAGCCGGCCCACACTCCTTCACAGGCAAACACAAGCACACTGTATTTGGAAAATCAAGCGCACACAAGACGGTGGCTGGACCATAGTCCGCTCCACACTGAGTGCATGGAACCACTCCTCGAACCTAGCACGGCCACAAGGACAGTGCATCCCGTCCCCTCCAGCAAGACCAAAGCTGCTGGAGCCAGTATGAACGAGGGAGTGGGTAGAAAACAGGGAGGCACCTTGTCAAAATGCACATCAAACGCAGTTCCCCTGGGATGTCAAACAAAAAACAAAATTCGAAAAGCCCATATCGAAAAAACGCATATGACGACATAAATACCCAGAAAAAGAGCATATGGAAAGAACTGGGTAAAGGCGAAAACGCGATAAACACAAAAAGTCCCAAAGTTATGTAAAAAATACCACGCGAAAAAATTAGGCAGGGTTACCAAAAATTGCATGAGCGATTTGTGCAAATTGGGAAAAGATTTTCAAATGCGCAAAAATACCAAATTAAATGGAAAGAAAATTATACAGCTTTAAAAAACCCCAGTTTAAATGTAAATTGGTTTAGCCCAACTGCGGGGAAAAAGCATCATGAAAGCAAAATCAGCCTCAGCACGGAGCACTCTTCCCTTATATATAAATATATAATATATATATATATATTATATATATATATATATATATATATATATATATATATATATATATATATATATATATATCAAGATAGGAAGAAACCAGTGTATAAACAGAGGTTAGTATAAAAGTAACAAAATGACTCATACAATAGGGTGTCGCACACCGAGCTTCATAAAATGTGACAGTGTTCAAAGAAGAGGCGATAGGGTATACAACAGTAGCGACAAAATGAAAATGCACGTACAACTGTGTTTGGCCATCGAAGCAAGACAGGTTGAACGGGAACACCGGGGCGAAAGGCGCCTGAAAAAAGAACGTAAATTCAGTGCCAGTCAAAGAAAATAGTATCTGATTTGGTGTTGCAAAAGTGCAGCCTAGGGGATGCAATTCAGGCGGAACACCGGCAACGCTGGAAGGATAGCTGCACAAGTTCATCTACAGCACAGTTATAAAATGATCTGAGCAATGCGGACGACCTCGCAGTATTCTTAGCTAGCAAGCGACTAGTGGCGGTCGCGTCGGCACGACGTGCCACCGCATTGCTTGAGAATTTTACCTGCCATTTGAATGTAAAATGTTAAACGTGTGGAAAAGCACTGGGCCAATTGACCTTCATGTACTGCCGGATGGACTGGTGCATAGCACTGCATATTTCAGTAAGCGCACCAGGCCGTTAAGTAACCCGTCCAAACGCCCCCGATTATTACAAGAAGCGAATAACAGGTAGTGATAAATTCGTTTGCTTCTCTTGTGGCTGAATCAATTCTTACAACCACATAACTGAAAAAGCCGCTGCATGTAATAAAGGGATGACGTGATGCTTCAAACGCTCACTTGTAGATTCGCAGAACATGGCTCGCTAGTTCACAGAAAGGTGCGGTGCTTCGATCGGAGGGACGACTATTGTGCGCTGAAATTTGCATCAACAGTACTCCGGCAGCCAGTACCGACGCTTCGCTGCCGCGCGACTATCAACCGTCACACGTGGGCTAAGGTTATTGCAAGGATCGCCCCTTGCTTAAAAAAGCTAGAACCCGCATCCCCAGATTATAAGGCAGGCTTGTGATGCTTAAATCTATGGGCCGGCATCAAGTGTTAAGCGCAGTAAGGGATCATCTAGGCCAGTGAAGCACTGATCAAATCTAGTGGGAACCACAGGTTGGATAGCAAGAATGCCATTAGCTGATGATTAGCAACAGATTCTCTGTCTCCTAATTGCAACGGCAACGGCAACTTGAGCCATCAACATCGGCTGGGTCATGCACTTCACATGTCTGTCAGCCGATAGCATCAGATTGCATGAAATTAGTTCAGAAAGGTATGGAAACAATTAGTTGGTGCAATTGTTGGGCAACGTTTCGCTTTTGACACAAAAGTCACCTCGACTGTACCCACGGACGTCGCGGAATTTTGAATCACCGTCTGCTGGATACTACTTTGCCTCAGATTACCGTGTTATCAGCGTTTTATCTGTGTGAATTGTGCACCAATATTCCTCCTTTGGCGTATTTTCCAAGCGGTGCAAATTTGGCGACTATTCTTTGGCTACTTCCGGAGATTGCATTGATTTGCTCTACTGCCACCTCTGTCTGCCATCTTGGATTTGCTCTGGCTTGTGATGCCGTCTCAAGATACTTGTGGATCGTGTTCGAAAATTGTACGAAATAAGGCTCATGCACTTCGGTGCTTCGGCTGTGAAGTTTTGTTCCATGTTTCGTGCATTGGCTTATCCGTTGACGTAATTCGAAAATCGCTCGACATCCAACATCGTTTTTTCAAGTTCTATGTGATAAATGTCGCGGTACAAGACATCAGAATACGCAGGGACCGCAAACAACTACGGGAAAATCTCTCTTTCAGATAGAAACAAACCGTTCACCACGTGGGAGCAAACGCCCTGGTGAAAGTACCTCTGTCACCTCGCCTACTGTTGTCACTCAGCGATCTGCACCACCACCAGCGTCTTCGACCCCGGCCGAGCCCCAGGTTCAATGTTCCCCACCGATGGAAGACTCAGACTCGGAAGCTACGAAATGCCGCTTCACTGATCGGTCCGTGAATTTCTCAGAGGCTGTCTGTGAACTTCTGAACACTGAGAATCCATGGACCACTCAAAAGCGCAAGGGCCCACGTAATCGAGCTCAGACGTCACCTGCTGATAAACAATAACCCAATCAGTTAAGCGCCTCTAGTTCTGCTCCCACAGGTTCATCACTGATTTTGTTGAGGCATCATAATCTCATGGTCTTCCACGTACCAGAGTCAAAAGATGAAAACCCTCAGATACGTTATGATCACGATGTTGAGTTCCTCCAGGGGTTCATCGATAGACTCTTGGATGTGGGCGAAGACAGTGTGACGATTGAACAAGTAATCCGACTTGGCCAGAAAACTAACCAGTCATGTCGACCTCTGAGAATCACCTTTGCAAATCCCAATATGCCGCAGCTCATACTGTCTCGTCTGTCAAGGCTGAAAGGCATAAAAGGTCACATCCGCCGAGACTTGGAACCCGAAGAGAGAGATCGTTTGAAGACTGCGGTCATTGAGCTCAAACGCCGTACAGAGGAAGGTGAGATTGACTTACAAATTGTAAATTTTCGGGTGATCAAGAAGTGTGTAAGAACCCGTATCAACCGGTTGCTCAACCTCCAGGCACGTCCCGCAGTACCTCCCAGGACATCCGTGTGGCATTCGCTAACGTGTGCAGCCTAATGAACAAACGTGACGAACAGTGCCGCTTAGTTGTCTCGGAGCGGCCGGACGTTGTAGGACTTACAGAGACTTGGCTGAACTCTGACGTCATACCCCAAGAAGTCGTGTTGTCAGGATACTCTTGTTTCCGATGCGACCAAAAATCAAAGGCTCATGGTGGTGTTCTGTTGTACATAAAATCGTCACTATCTGGCAAACTTACCAGCACCTATCGGAGCGAGGATAGTTTATGCGAGCAATTGTGGTGCACAATCCGCCTCAGGCGTGCAGAACTAGTAGTGGGGGTTGTCTACCGGAGCCCATCAAACCGTTGTTGCGATTGGCTACCACACGTACAGAAGCACATGAGCCGCCCTCAGTTCTTACTGATGGGGGATCTAAATGTACCTAAGATATTTTGGCTAGACGTTCGACTTCTTCCCCATCATGGCAACATTGAGGCACAATCCGCTAAAATGACTGTTGAAATCGGGGCAACGCAACCTGTCATCCAACCGACGCACGTAACTGCGCACTCGGCATCTTTTCTGGACTTAATGTTTACGGCATGCGAGCAGAAGCTGAACGAGATCAGTCATCGAACGTCTGGCGGACAGTGACCACTGCTCCATTGTGGCAAGCTTAGAACTGTCGTTACCATATTACAATCAACAGAAACCGACATTCAACTATTGAAAGACGAACTTCAACGGGCTCCTCCAAGCTGCAAGTCAGACTGACTGGACACTACCACAGGATGCGTCACTTGAGACTTGTTGGTCATTAATGAAGGGGAAGCTTAACTCGCTCTGTACTCGGTTCGTTCCCCTAAAGTATTCAAAAATCGGACCTGTCAAACCGCATTGGTTTGACACGGAATACAGAGAGTTAGCGCGACAGCGTCGCAAACTTTGGGATGGATACATCAGCTCGGGTTGTGATGAAGATTACACGGTGTACAAGAAACAGCGTGACTTTCGTAACGCCGCAAAGATCAAGAAACGCCGGCAGTTCGAAGAGGAGCTAGCATTTTCGGTCACAACTGCACCCAAAAGGATATTTGCTTACTTGAAACGTCAACTGAAATCTGGGGGCGACCTACCGGTTTTAGAGAGCTTAGACGGAAAGACACTCATTTCAAGCGCGGAGCGCGCGGACGCCTTGGCTACGCACTTCCTCACTGTATTTTCCAGTAAACCGGCGGCGGTTTCAGTACTGGCACAGGTTGCGCCAGTCTTGCTCAACAGCCTACAATGTGATGCAGTCGAAGTGTACCAGATACTCGTCAACCTCGGTGATGCAAAGCCCCCCGGGCCGGACGGACTTCACCCACTAATACTCAAGTCCCTATCGATTATCATCTCACCAGCCGTGACAAACCTTTTCAATAAATCGCTCTCTGAAGGATCTGTCCCGAACGACTGGAAATGCTCGATAGTGAGACCGATTCCCAAGGGTGGTGATCCGAGTAAACTAGAGAACTACAGACCGATCTGTTTGACTTCGGTATTATCCAAAGTGCTCGAGAAGGTTGTGAAAAAGTGTCTGCTATCGTTCTTCGAATCGACGGACGTATTAACGCCATCGCAACATGGCGTTACGAAGGGGCGATCCTGCATCAATAACTTGATGTACGCCAACCACCAGTGGGTACGAGCTCTCAACGAACGGAAGGATGCTGACGTGGTGTACATCGACTTTAGCAAAGCGTTTGACAGAGTGAACCACGAGGTACTCCTTGGTAAACTGAGGACATACGGAATCGGTGGCACGTTACTTCAGTGGTTACCCGAGTTTATTGTGGGACGAAAGTTTAGAGTACAGATCAATGACTACCTGACAGACTGGTTCCCATCGACAAGTGGCGTGCCTCAAGGAACTGTGCTTGGGCGGGTATTATTTCTTACTCATATCAAGGATCTTCCGCAGCAGCTCCAGTCACTATGTGCCCTGTTTGCAGATGATTTGAAAATCTAGAGGATCATTGAGAACCAGGACGACTGCGCTCGCATCCAGCATGACTTAGAGCGACTGTCAAGGTGGTCCACTGAAATGCAACTCCCTCTTAACGCAAGCAAGTCGAAGTTCATCAGTATCATCAGACGTCCAGCCACTCGATCATGCACCTTGGACGGCCAGTTGCTCCACCCTAACACATCTGTCAGAGACTTAGGAGTTCTCTCACGACATATGAGATCACTAGAAAATACAGAGAAATTGTGCCGTGCGGGACGTCGTATGCTCTGGGCATTCAGACGCAGTTTCTCCACATGGTCCGAAGAAACCATCCCTCGTCTATTTACCTCTCTCATTAGACCAATCCATAAATACGGTGCCCCAGCTTACCATCCGATAATCCAATGGGAAACTGAAAAGCTGGAGAAAATACAGCATATCGCAACTAGAATGGTACAGAGTCTACAAAAGCTTCCATACGAAAAACGTTGTGAAAGGCTCGGACTCTAACACTATCCTATCGCCCAGTAAGAATCGACCTCATTGTGACCCATCGAGTACTACATTTAATCCACTTCCCCATACTGCGGCCAATATTTCACCTCCCGGAACCCTGTAACACCCGAGGACACCGTTACAAACTCAGGGTCCCC